AGTTACTACATTATTATTAGACTCAAATTTCTAAAAAAAAAAAAAAAAAAAAGAGAACTGCAAACCCTTGAAGGTAGATGGTCAACGCTCAAATCTAAACTGTGTTGACTCCGATTCCACCTAAGGTCCCCCTGGATAAACTGAAAGGCCAAAGAGCTCACCAGTACTCTCAGCTCACAGGGATACAGCTTTTTCCACTCCTTGGGTTGTGATGTAGCTGAAGGAGATCTTGGAGAAGAGCAGTGCAGAGGTAGTAATGTAGTGCTGCTTCATCCTTCTATCTGTGAGAAATAAAGCACTACACTGGAGGTTGGGACAGACAACTCTTGGAGGAGTTTGGCTAGGGATATAGCTACCCAGATCCAAGAGTTTCCAGGGTTACAAGCTTTGTCATTCACTTCCACTGCTCATGTCTCTCTTTAAGTGGTGGCGAGATTGGAAAGAGATGCTAGAAGGGTCTAACTCTGTAGCTCTGTAATAGCCCTGCTCTGACAGATTGTAGACAAGGGTGCCTTAGGAATTCCCAAAGAGAAGAGAATCTTGGTCTTGTAGGCAGGTGACTTCTGCTTTATTTTTCTTCAGCCATATAGGACACAGATTGCTGAGCATGCTTGGATACTACAGCATCTGGGCACTGATGGCAACTTTTATTGCAAGAAACACCCATTTCTTTTTCTCTCAAGTGGAACTCAATAATCCAGCTTTAGAACTGAAAACCTTAGGTCTCTGTCCCTGAAGGATTTTCAGAAGCTTAGATGGATAGGAATGAGGCCAGCATCTCAACCCAGTTATGGACTTCACTTACCCATCCCCAGCTCATCCATGAGAGTCCTAAATGAATATCAGAATTAACAGGCTGGAAGGAATCTCTGTCGTGGTTGCAGAAGTTCTGTGATAAGTGATGCATGTGCTTAATGAACTGCATTTTTGGGAAAGCCCCAAACCAAGGTCCCACAGAGAATCACTCACCTATCACATTGTGTACAAGGGAGAGGATGGGACAGAAGGAATCTTGTCAGGAAAACATATGCACACATTTTAGGGTCAGCTATCCCAACCCATGACAAATCCCTCCAACAACTGTGGGGCTGTACCTACTCAGGGCTTCCAAACCCCACCCACATCAGGGCCGCAACAGAGAAACAGTGACTGATGTCCAGTGACAGTTTTTTTATATTTAAAAACAAAACCAACCTCCTCCCACAAAGCCCCCCAAACAAACAAACAAACAAAAAAAACCAGATTAAATAAAATTTACAGTGAATATACCCAGCAAACATCTGTATGTGCAATTAAATACTGTGTCTGTTACTGTGGCACGAACCTCAAACAATATACAAGTGTTCTGGGAGTGGGGGTATCTTCCAAGTTTTAACTGTGGCATTTGAGGAAACAAGGTAAGTGAGAAAATGGGAAAATCAATTTTTTTTCTTAATTTGGTCTATATAAATATATTCATAAAGACTAAAAAAAGGAAAGGGAGCTTAGGGTGGTAAAATAGGAGAAAAGGGGAGTGTGAGACATTCCCAATTCTACCTGACCAAAACTTATAAAAGAAACTTCTTTCCACAGAGGAAGAAAAGATAAAAAATGATAGAAGAAGATGGAGAGGAGAGGGAAGCAGAGAGGGAAAAAAGGGAGGAATGGGGCACCCATGGCAGGGGAAGTGTGGAAGGGATCCAGTGCCTGTTAGACTCTCCTTCTTCATCCTTAAGATCTTAGGCTCTAGTTTGATGTCCATCTCTTTACTTCTCACTTCTGCCCCACCTTAGCCCTCTCCACCCCCCACCAGTCCCTTCCCTTCTTCTGTTTATTGGGAGCTGGCTCTCTCCAGGATTCTCAGGTCATAGTTCTTTTTGGCCACTCGAAGTTTGAAGCGACTCACGGAGTTGTTGAGGCGAAGGGAGGCATTTTGGGCAGCCAGGGGGCTGGGGAACACAGCCACGATGGTGTACAAGGCAGCGAGGTCCGAGTGGCGGCCGTTCTCGGCAGTCCCACTGTTGTCCCCACCACCCCCACCAGGCAGCCCCTGAGCATCTTTGAGCCACTGGATCTTGGCGCCGGACATGGCGAGCTGAGTGAAGAGTTTGTCCGCCTCAGTACGGGTGATGCCCTCAGGGAGATCTGTCACCTCCAGCACCCGCCCCAGGACTGGAAGGGGAGGAGAGAGGATATGATTGTGAGAGGCAGGGTAAGCACTGGATAGTAGCCTAATAGAGAGGTGTCCAGCTGCCCAATAGAATGTCCTCAAAAGCTGTACTCTTCCCACTTAGCCCTTTTTCCCTTTCCTCCAATCAAACAGAATCCTTACCATCCAGACTCCAGTGAGGACAACTAGGAGGGGAAAAAACAGAACCTTTCTCTTCTTCCATCTCAGAGATGTAGGCAAACAGGGACTGGGAATCATGCCTCAGGTTTATGAGTTGGGTGGGGGACTACACCTTAGTCCTCTGACAA